GTTTCCAGTTCCAAATCTTCTAACCCCCGCCCAGCATGTTGTTTTTCGTCCAAACCAAAAGTACCACCTTTAAGTCATGCAAATCACTTTTGCCACGTTCGTTCAGCTAGGGAATGTTCCTCATGAACTAACACAAAAGTTCGAAAACTTTCGACTGAGGTTTCGAGGTAATGAAAAAGAACTTCCAGCAAAAACAATTTTTCTGGCACAAAGTTCGGCATATTTGAGGAAAAAAATCAATGGCATTTACTGAAAACGACCCACAAGGAGCTTTCCAATGCATGTTCAGAATTTTGAAGGAACGAACGAGTATAGTAAACTTTCATTTATAATGTATCATCGAGAATCAATCATTTTATGTAATTCTAGTAGAACCGTTACAAATTGCCTATCTTTACCAAAAGCAATCGATAGTTTTGCTCGATGTGATCTGATCGATGTTTCTAAAACACTGCTAAACATTTTCTCTCATACAGTGTCAATGATTTTCAGTAAAGTCTAGATAAGGTTCAGTTTAATAATATCGGATTTGATATATTCAATTAGTACAAGGTGATTTCCAAAGTAATCAGGACTTCTTGAATCTAGCGCGCCCTGCTGGAGACATATATCGACTGGTGCATTAGAATCTGCTATATTTATCGATTGTCAAGCGAGAACTTCATGACATTTCATCGGAATGGGATTGGAAGTGAAGTTATTGCATTTTAAGTGTCAGTATGTTTGTATTATCAGTGTGAAAATGAGCTTCGAATAAAAACGCAACATTAAATTTTGTTTTCAAATTGGTAAAACTTTTATCGAAACGTTTCAATTAATGAAACAAGTTAATGGCGATGATTGCCCATCTGGAAACAGAGTGCAATTGTGGTTTCAACGTTTTCGAAGTGGTCGTGAGGACATAAATGACGATCAACTATCCGTAACACCGGAAATTCCACCGAAACTGTGAGTGAATTCATCAAAAATCAGTCGTAATCATCATTGAAATTCATGGAAATGGAATTTAATATCTCCAAAACATCTATTTATCGCATTTTGACCTATCACTTGGACTTACGAAAGGTGTGTGCTCGGTTTGTTCCGTACAAATTGACTGACGACCAAAAATTGCTCAGAATCCAACATACTAAGGACAATTATTTGAACAAAAATCACATTTATTCCGTGCGACTTCTTCCTTTTCGGAAATATGCATTTGCCGATGAAAGAAAAGCGTTATGCAGACGTAGAGGCCATTCAAAAGACTTGCGAAGGCATACTGACGGCCAAGGAGCTAAAACACTCGTTCAATAGTCATCGAACAAAAGAATGAAATTTTCTGCTCTAAGTATATACTTACATATTTATTTCTACGATTTTCAAACTATACTCAAAAAATAAATAACAAAACACAAACTATAAATGTTTGCAACATGAAACATTCCCAACACAGCGCAGCGAAAACTTATCGGCTGATCACCTTTTTGAAAGGCCTTTGAATCGTAAATATTTGCAATAAATAACCACGCTATTAAATGCCGCATATTTATAGGTATGCTCACTTCTGCAAACGTGTGAAAAGACGGCCCGGAACGATACACTACAATACTGTCTGAAAAGAGACGCGCTGCTAACCAGCAAGCTTTTAATTGGCGATCAGTGAACGTAAACAAATAAAGTGGCGAAGGCGTGCGCAATTCCCCAGCACATACTCATTAGCCGCTATTGCTTGCAATTACTTGTAATGACTCACAGGCTAGTGCAATGAACTAACGGCGCAGACTACTCTACGATCGATTTCCTTTGAGGACTTTGAGCCGCAACTGTAATACGAGAGCACTGCAAGTTGACAGACGTAAGCAGGCAAAAAATCGCAATCGTTCGAGTAAGGTGTTCGGTTTCAAATTGTGCTCTGTACCTACATGCATGCGGATTACTGTAATTTGTATAGAAATATGGCAGACTGTTCTGTGGGTTTTTAAATTATATTTATTTATGTTTTTTTTTTTTGGAATTTAATACGCAAGTTTCTTTTGTTGTTGTTTTCTTGGTGTTTCTTAAACCGTAAGTAAAGTCACTAATGTCAAGATCGACATTGCAAAACGTCTTGCCATCATCTCAATTACATTGGTGCGTGGTTAAGCTATGCACCACCACAAACGTGCGAGCACACCTACTTATATGCATGTTCTTTAATGGTAATTATATGGTGCTTAGACTCGGAAGATGTTGGGCCGAACTGCTTTAATGAGCTTTTGTGCGGCTTTGTTGTTTCAAGGGTAAATATACTGTTTTAAGTTGTTAAATTTTCGGATTGTTTGTTAGAGGATTTTATAAAAACTGTTTCTTATCTTCTTTACCTGCCGAGAGCTTACGAGGAAGCTATTTCCATATAATTTTCAACGAAAAAGTGGAATAACGAATCCAAACTCAACTAAAGCCAGCGATATCTTCATACATAGAGCGTTCCAAAGTAAACAGGACTTAAAAACAGAAACAGAACAAATGGTTTTTTTCGACAAAATCAATTTATTTTATTCAAAATGTTCTCCTTCTGCTTCAATACAGTTTTTGGCATGGTCCAAAAGCATGTCGAGCGAGTGTTTTAGCTCGTATGCCGGTGCAAGCCTTTTGAATGGCCTCTATGTTTGCATAATGTTTTTCTTTCACCGGCAAATGAATTTGTCCGAAAAGGAAGAAGTCGCACATTGCCATTAATAAATGTGATTTTTGGTCAAATAATTGTCCTTCGTATGTTGGATTCTGAGCAATTTTTGGTCGTCAGTCAATTTGTATGGAACAAACCGAGCACACACCTTTCGTAAGCCCAAATTATCGGTCAAAATGCGATAAATAGATGTTTTGGAGATATTCAATTCCATGATTTCGAGCGATTTTTGATGAATTCACTCACTGTTTCGATGGAATTTCCGGTGCACTCTGCTCCGAGATAGGCAATCATCGCCATTAACTTGTTTCGTCAATTAAAACGTTTCGGTAAAAATTTAACCAATTTTAAAAGAAAATTTAATGTTGGCTCTTTGTTCGAAGCTCATTTTCGCACCGCTAACACAAACATACTGACACTTAAAATGCAATAACTCCACTTTCAATCCAATTCCGATGAAATGTCATAAAATTCTCACTAGACAGTTGATAAAGGTAGCAGATTCTAATGCACCAGTCGGCATATAGATGGCGCCACCAGGGGTCCCAAAAAGTCCTGTTTACTTTGGAAAGCACCTTGTATATGCGCATATGTACATACTCATTTTTATTTTGACACGCCTCCATTGCACCGGCGCAGACGATTATTATATTTACTCGTAAACACAAATTATATAAGTATGGTGTTATTTATTTCGCATTAGAAAAGCGATTTACCGAGCCATTTTATATTAGTTCAGCGAATAACTTTAAAGCTCATATCCCGTACACTTTTTAATGACTTTTAGTTCGGCTTTGTTCGTGTAAATGTTGCATGTGTGCCACTTAAACTGCGCTTTGTCTGCTTTCCCGAAACGGAAACCGTCTTGACTTTGAACTTGAATCGATGGTGAATGGCAAAGAACTTGATGTCCAAATGTTAGCGATGTCGGCATAGCCGTGAAGCAGACATAATTTAAGTTTTTTTATTTTCCGTGGTTGTAAGTTTGTACGTAGGTAGTTAGTTGGTTAAACGATTGTTCGGTTCATTGCCGCTGCAAAATCAATGAGGCGGATATTTTTCGATCGGCGGTGTTTGACTGCATCTTTCGTTTCTTTTTTGGCTTTTTATTTATTCAAATATCTGACTCATTTTCTCTTTCGTTAAATAAATTCATATCGGCTGTTTATATATACATATATATATACACATATATATATATATATTTTTTTTTTTAATAATAACATACATACATATATGTATAAATAAAACACTTTTTATGTTGCTTTTGTTTTTATTGATTTTTGGGCGTTCCGACTGCAACTTCTGTGAAAATGAGTTGTATACCAATTCAAGGTCAATTTTGTTTTGATTTTTAACTTTTGGTTTTTAATTATCGATTTAGCCGAATTATTTCTTAGAAATTGCGTGTGAGTTCTCAGCTTGCGCTTTTCGTGTTAGTCATCGATTGTCTTACGATTTTAAGCCGCTTAAACACATTTGTTTTAGTACTTAGCAGCTGTGTTTGAAGTTTAGACTTTTCGACAGGGGTTACGAGAAGATTTGTCTCAATATTATCAGTTATGTGCGATGAAAACAAGTAAATATTTGCTTTTTACCAAAATATTAATGTAGATTTTTCACTTAAAAATGTTTAAAACAAAACTAAGAAATAATTTTAGATTTAGAGATTTTTCCGGTTATAGTTGCAACAACTGTACGGTTGTTTCTTTATAAATTATTATCTTGAAAGATATTTTTGTCATCAGTTCGATGAGTCGAACTCGCTTCAACCTCAAAGTTGACTTTAAGCTGCTGATGGATTGCTTGAAAAATATTTCCATAACCAACAATTAGGAAATACAGCTCAAGCATCTCAAGACTTGCGGTCTTAAACCAAGTATCCGTTTGGCGACGAGTTAAAGTGAGAAGGCGAAACATCGCTCTCTAGTCTTGGGTTTGTAACCTGGCACGTAAAAACACTCTATTGAAGAGAAACAAACAGCCTCGGATGATTGACTTTTTTCGGCTATAACTTCGGGCACATAAGAAGAAGATTCGATTTGAAAAATTTCCATGAAAATTTAACTCTAAGAAATGTCGTCAAAAATTATTATTTGATTTCGCTACTCGCACTTTTCTTACCTATATTTCACAACTTATTGATAAAAGTTAAAAATAACTAAACACTAATTCCCTACCCCACTTACACCTTTTTATTGCAACGCACATTATTCGAAAACATACTAACTGCACACTTTTGTCAATGAACATTTTTGTTCTACTAACCTTTTTGGCAACTCTCATACAAATTCAGCCACAAAAACTTATTCCTCACACATTTGTTTCTTCATCTTCATACTATTTTCAGCTATCATTAATTCCAATACTCATTCGGCAAAATTTCAAAATCCATTCTCGGCTAAACAAACAACACCATTAAACACAACAACACAATTGTCATCAACCAAATTGCAAGAGCAACAACAAGCAACAATGAAAAATTCATCACCCTCATTGGCATCACCAAATTCATTTCGTTCGAATCGCTTTGCTTCGTCTTGGCAGGATATCGTTCGAAAAGTGCGAAATTTCGATTACAATCGTGTGAAAAATATTAAAGAACATTTTCATATCGAATTTGTAACAAAGGAGAAATTTTCGGGTATGTTATGGTAGTAATTGGCAAAAAGTAAATTGGAGAAATAATTCAGATTCAAATAGATTTATATAGTAATTATAGCTTAAATTTTTTTGGAATTATCTGATGTTTAAAAAATGTTTTATGCTTAAATTATAACATCTTACTATTTTTTATTTTTATTTTTATTTTTTTGTTAAGATTATTTGCCTTTATKAAAAAATTAAGACGAATTGACTTGAAGACAGATTTTTTATTAATAAAAATATTAAAAATGCCGGTTTCACTCTCCAAGGCCCCTCTGAATAAAAACCAAAAAACTGTTTTCAAAAACATCGTGGACTCTTCGATTAAAATCACAACTTCGTCAATTTCACTTTTTTATAGTATCTTATGAATTTCACTCAATCTCCATCTGACATCTTTATTTCCTATAAATTGTGTTATCTTTTGAAATTTATAACTGATCTTTGTTTTAATTAAAATGTTTCACTGATTCCCTTGATAATTAATAACAATTAATAATTTTCTTGAAATACTAGAAAAATAACTTAAATTTCATCAAAAAATCACAAAAACAAAAACGAGAGTGTTCTCACCATGCTCCAAAATCATTAAACAAAAGCTTGAGGACACTTGGACATTATAATCCAAGTTAAATATAGGGTACTTCTTAACAAGGCGGGTGTCAGATTTACACCAATCATCTTCAACGTCTTGTGCTCTCTTAAGTCAAGCTGACTGGGTAAAAATACATCCATTGATCAACTTTACATATGGGGTGTTAGAACAAAACATGAATCACAAATATCCATTTTATGCTGGGATCGTTTGTATTCTAGAGATTGCCTTATAGCTTTCTAGCACAAAAAGTCGGTTTAGTAGGCAGGCGAAACTGCTTATATATATGGTACCGTTCTTGTATAGGGAACAGCTAAAATAGCGATTCCACGAGTAATTTGAGTGTTCAGTTCATGAAGACTAACAACATTTGATTTAAAATATATCAAATTTGGAATCTCAGCGGACTAGGACGATTTGTAGTATAACTTTGACGGAACTAATTTTATTTCTAAATTTAGTATACAAGAACCAAGGAAGAGCATTAGGAGAACCTACGAATTTATAGGCTAGATGGAAAGGATTGCCATTAGACATACATAAATTCAAGTTAGGCGATAGAGAGCTGTCAAAAATGATAAAGTGATTCCATAAAATGCGCTATTGAGGCCAATTAAACGATAAGTTAAGACTTGAAGTTGGATGATGGATAAATATCATTACAGAAAAAGATTTGTTACAAACTAAGATTATAAAGGGTAATCCAATTTAAAGTGTTCTACTTTTTAAAGAATATACAGAGATACTATAGTGGGCTTATTATCATTCGAAAGAACATTCATTGAGATTTTTTTAAGATTATCTCTTTCAAAAGTTGGCCGCATTGATGTCTCGGATAGTCTATCCGTTGAGTCCAATTTTCGATGACTAGCTAGAGCATTTTGACTGGCAACTGGTGAATGACTTGTGTGATGTTTCTAACGGTGAGACACACGATTTTGGTGGCTAATCTACCGGCCCAAAACCTGAAATGATCTGCTCATCGAAGTATTTTGTCAATAAATCCATTGATTGATGCGATGTGAGGAAGGTGACGCGGTTTTGTTGAAACCAAATGTTGTGGAGATCTCAAGCTTCAATTTCATGCATCAAATAGTCGGCTATCGTGGCGCTATAACAGTGCCATTGACGGTTACGTTCTCACCGGTATCATTTTTGAAGAAGTATGAGCCGATGAATCCTCACCAAACCATTACTTAGCTAGATGAAATGGCATCACTTGAATCTCTTCAGGTTGCTTTTCGTCCCAAATGCAAGAACTTTGCTTGTTTACATACCCATTGAGCCAGAAATGGGCCTCATCGCTGAACAAAAAATTTGACTCTTTTGGAACTTTTCATAAGCCCATCGACCGAAGCGATTTCGCTTGGGAAGATCGAGACGCTTCAGTTCTTGCACAAGCTGTGTTTTGTACGTTTTCAATTTAAGATTTCAACGTAAAATACGCCAAGTCATTCCATAAGTCAGTCCGAATTCATGTGAGCGGCACCGAATCGACTCTCCACCTTCTTCGTGAACACTCTCAGCTACAACACTATATCTTTTTCATTGCGTACTGGACGCTCAGTAGGCCGATTATGTTGACCATAAGTTGAGAGAAGCAGAACTTGAAATTTCGAAAATAAAGTTGTACATTTTATAAACCTTGCTCAGGCGTAAGTTCATGATGAAACGCCAAACATTATTGTACTAAAATAACATGACAACTTGATACGACTCACGCGTGATCTATCGAAAACTGGCTATTGAAAAAGTACTACTTGGATCACCCGTTATAATGCATCTATTTTTTGAAATTGACAATACCCGCTGTCTCAGATCTAATATACATATGTATGTATTCATCCCGACTATAGCTTTCAAAATTGTACCTCTAAAAGCATTCGATGTGAGGCATAAATCAAAAAGCTTTTGTTTGCGGTCCCCATTTTAAAGTTCTAATTTCCTCTGTAAATTAATATACTCACTCCCTCACATAAATTATATTAATTAAATGTAGGAGAGTCCCCAACACCTAGTTCTGCCCGCGTTCATCTATTAGTTTATATTTTGCCGCATTTAAAGATGGAAAATAAACACACACACGCATACAAAATGAACTTAAAACAACATTAGACGCTACCTAAAAATGCCTTATTAATGCATTAACCACAAATATTTTTGATAAATTTTCATTTCTGCTGCAAGCAACAACACCGAACACCGCACTACTGAAAAATAATAAAAAAAAGTGGCCAGCTATTGATGGAAATAAAGCATTTTCGTTGGAGAGGAATTCAATCAAATGCGTGTTCTTTTCGTCGCTTGTTTGCTTTGTGGAATTTTGATTTGTTGAAAGCACACGTGCAGCTGGCAGTGCATCACCGAACGGCATCTCCACCATTTACATTTAGCGTTTAACGGTAGTTTGTCTCATGCACAAGCCACACACACGCTGAACCGCAAAATGCGCTGTCTGCAACATTTCTTTGGAAAACTGTGCTGCGGTTGTGGTTTCTATTTTTCGCTGCTGAAGGTAAATGCAATTGCAAGAGATCAAAGCACATTTTATCCTCAGCAGCAGGCAGACAGCATAAAAGACTTGTCCAATATGCACGTACAAGCCTACAAAGCACAGCACACCACAAATGTATAGTATGTAGTGACAAGGTGAGTAAGGCTAAGTGCATAGGGAAACGGAGCGCAAGGCGAATAGAACGAATAATAATTATAGTAGTTTTTTTCTGACCTTCTAAAGGACTATCTATAAAAGTCCTAGAAAATTCTCCAACGTATTTTGTGTGAAGTTTCTCTAAACTCCTTAGACCCAAAACGTATTTCTAAGTTATTGTTTATAGCCTAGTTTCCTATGCATCACTATGCACTTAGCCTAATGTATGCAAGAGCAAACGGCTATTGGGTGCGTCCACCGTTACCATGATTTAAAAATTGGCCTGCATTAAATTTTAAATTAGCCTTTGACTAAGCGGTCACAAGGGAAAGCTTCCATTTGTTAGCATTGATGTGAGAGTTAATTGAACGTGACTGACTATACTATACATATTTTAGTATATATGCATATTAATAGACAGGGCCGCAGAGAAAAACTGGCCGCAGGGGTAAGAAGGTGGGGCTTTCTCCCTACGGGATTGCTTCTAAAACTACTTAGCAAAATTTATTAATTATCTTCCGACTTACTACTGTAATGCCTTTGAAGTATAAGTCAAATACGACGTAGTATCATAAATAGTTTTTGAGCATGCAATTTAAACTTCCCCAACCTTCAATTATTTGGAACTTCGGTCGGTAATAGTCTGGTACTCTAACTTCTTGTCTAGGAACAGTGTGACGAGCATTATTTGCCAAAGCACTAAACGAACGTCTGGGAAAAGTCTTCTTAATTTGCGAACGTTGATGGCGGATTTCAAAATTTGCATCATAAACGTTTCTGAGATGAATAGCTTCATTGGACAAGTTATCAAATACACCAACGGAATATTTTTTGCAACTGCCTTCAGTTCCTTCATGTTGTGAATTTGTCTTAGAAATGAGATCGATTCGTTTATGTTTCTCACTGTGGTTAATATTCATTCCACAAAAAACGCTGTAAAGTATGACATAGAAGGGATTTTTAATTCATTTTAATTTTTACTGCGTTTTCATCCACTTTTTCTCTTTACTGAAGTTGTTTCCTTGAGGATGTTAAAATCGTTTCGACATGTTGGAAAATTGGGTACCTTCGAGTACTCCTGAAAAATCACCAGTCATTTAACCTTATACAAAGAAATTGTTTTCGACATTATTACCATCTAAAAAAACAGTCAAAACATCAGCAATTTATTAGATTTTGTGAGAAGAACCTTTCGTCACTTGAGGATTTTACCTAAGATACATATGTAGTATGTCGTTCTCAATCAATATTTTTACATTTGATGAGATCGCAGATCTGAATTATCAATATTATATGTCAATATGTCTGCTTTAAATTAAAGTCTATATACAATCTCTCACAAAATCTAAATTCAAAGTCCAACTGCTTTCTCCAGTTGTGAGCAAGTCTACCAATGCGTTTCTGTCTAGATGGATTTCAATCACACCACGCCGACTTGCGCTTAAGAATTCCGATAATTCCATGGTGGTTGATTGGAGATAATATTCGGATTGATAATGGATTACCAAGATAACGAGTGAGGTCATTCCAAATCTCGATTATAATAAATATTTGTTTACACAAAATACTTGCTTCATTTAGCTATGCAGTTACTTGGGGATCTAATAGAAGAGCTAAGTGGATACATTGCCTCTCCTTTCCAAATGATAACCTAACCCATTGCCCGCAAAGACTTAGTGATTCCTGCTAGCCAGGCTCTGTCGGGTACATAGGCGGTATATGTATCTACTTATTCTCGTAAAGATAATTCTGTTGTATACGTGTTGACCTTCCGGCTAACTGACAGCCCCAGTTCCAGGCTCCGGTCCGATAGAAATTATAAATGATTATAAAAACCACAAACATAAATAAAGGAACCATATTATAGAAAAAAGTTTTAGGATATGAAAACAATAGTAAAAAAGTAATTTTAGGAATAAATCGTGCTTGTAAAACTGTGAAAATACTTTATGTAATGTTTCTTCGGAGATTGCACCTTTGTCTTAAATAAATAGCAACTTCTTGAAAAGAAAAGAACAGGTGCAAATTTTCGAATCGATATCTCAAAATTTGATATATCGACAGACGGACGGACAGACAGAAGGGCATCGAACTCATGATGATTATTTATAGTATATACACATATGTATTTTATAGGGTCTCTTTCCTTATGGATGTTACAAACATCATGGCAAGCTTTATATAACCATTTTAGGGTATAAATCGTACTAACGTTAAATATAATATACTGAAATAAGTAAGACATCTGGAAAATGAGTCGCTTGAGTATGAAATTTCTTCACTTCAATTTTATTTGGATGCGACTCTTGGCAATGTCATTCAATTCGCTGTGTCTTGCATACATTAACCCAATTTCGAAAGCAATGCAAATCAGTTAACACTTAAATTGCACATATACTCGTACATAACAACACACACACACACATCACATTTTCAATTTATTTTAAATAAAAAATAAGTGAAATAAATAACAAGCAGAGCTTCGCCATTCTTAGAATTTACTTGGAACTTTTATTGACTCGACAAGCCACACTTCGGCGCAGAGCGTAAGGTGTGTGGCGTGAAATTTAGATGAACGCTCATAAAAGTGTTGTGACTCATATGAATTCGAATTCTGCTCACGTTCTCACAAAAGTGGAGATCTGTGCGAGTTCGCTACAAAGAAAACTTTGAGTCAAAACCACATATTGAAACCAATAAAGTCAGGAAACAATCAGTCCGAACGATTATACATACATATGTAAATCAATGTGTGTTAAAGTCGTTAAATTTAAAAGAATCTCGATTGCTCTGAATGCCTTTATGAACCACTTTTACACTTTTGTTGCCCCATTAAGTAATGGTTCTATTTACTACTTACAATGTTTAATTAATTTTATGTTTTCGCTAACCAAACTACTTTCATTCAAAACTTTCTAAACAAATTAAGATCTTGCGATCATTGAATGCGGTGTCAGCGGTCAACCACAAATTCTATTTAAACAAACTCTTTCGCATTCCTGCATTCAATTTAAGTGGTCTCAACGAGATCGTGGCACAATAAATGGGTAAATGGTCGGGTTTCTATTACTAAAGTGGCGGCTGGCCGAAATGTCAACGCAGCACGCAGCCAGCGTCAAGTAATACGCTCGGCTGGCGGCCCACCAGTGGGCCATAATGCCTACTGCAATTAGCTAAATTGCTGGGAATGCTGAGTGACATGTGGTTTTGCGGGTGAGTGCTAATAATTTCGCACTAATTTGCGTTTTTAACGCCGTCAATTCTCTCCTTATCGACAGCCAACATAGAAGCAATTTTTATTTGCGAGCTTTTTAATTGAACGTGATTGAGCAACAATTAAATGTGACACAGGAACATTGCATAATTTACTGTTCTTAGAGCAGTTGCCAAGTGAAACTTAATAGTTTCCGATTACTTTGTACTCGTATGGTGGCTAGGTTATGCGAAAAATTGCAAGAAATTAGTCAGTAATCAGTTCTGTATAAAAAAAGTAAATAAATGAAGAAGTGTCTGTATGGACTTCGGCGGTAATAAACGATCTTAGGCGATGCTTCTTGTACATTGATATTATGACATACTTTATATCATGACTATCCTTGAAATTAAAAAGATTAGTTAGCGATGGATCGGTCTCGAGTCGAAAACATACCTAACACTGACTCATGTTTATTGCTGAAAGAAAATTCTGTTAGAGTTCCATCAAGAGGCTTCAAAATGCAATGTATTTGTTCATAACATACGATATTGTGGTAGCCCGAGGTCAGGGGTATCTGGTAGATGCATCAATACTTTCTAGCCAAGCTCTCCCAGTTTTTGTTGAGCAATCCAAGATGTGAAGGCCTTTCTGTTGATCAGTTCGGGCCATTTTTTTTCGATTGCTTGCTTTAATCTCTTCAGTTGTTGACAGTGAAGTGTAGAATTTACCATTCGACCATGCTGGAGCTGCTCATAGTGGATAATTCCTTTCCAATCCCACCAAAAACTCAGCAAATCCTTTCGAGGCGTTAATCCTGGCTTTGCGATCATTTGTTGATATTCACCACGCTTGTACCATGTTCTTTTTCACACATTATTGTGGTATTTGATCCACTTTTCATCTCATGTTACCATCCGCTTCAGAAATGGTTCAATTTCATTTCGTTTCAGCAAAGAATCGGATATGTTAATTTGGTGCATTAAACTTTTTATAGACAATTCATGTGGTACTCAAACATCGAGCTTCTTTTTGTAGCCAGCCGTTTTTAAAAGGTTCAAAACCGTTTGATGATGATAGCGATGTCATAGCTGCTTAAGCGACGATCTTGATCAATCTATTCCCCAATTTCATCGATAGGCTGAAAATCGAAATTTCCAGAAGGGAAGCAAGCAAACTATTGTTGTGCTACACGAAATGACTTCACAAAGTTTATTGGTGGTATTCTTCTCTTTTTGCCGAAAAATCTCAAAATATAGCGAATTTATTTATTATTTCCACTCAATTTTGAACAGCTGTAACTTTTTTCAACTTCCCTGAATTAATTCTTTTTTTTGTTTTGATAAATGAAGCTTAAAGTCTCACCTTTCCAACTCTATTTGGTATGACATAATGTGATTGATAGCACTGGAGATATATGTACGACTGCAACGACAACTATTGACAAAATACGAAAAGACTTTCTCGACTAGCCAATATTATATGTATATCATTTCCAACACAACAACAATGTTTGTTGACTATGTTATTTTAATGACTATATTAATGGACCCATCATAAAATTCTGCGATATCAGAGAACTTTAGTATCATTAAGCTGTTTCAATGGCCTTATTCTACATTAAAATTCGTAAATAAATTATTGAAAAAAATTGTTCGCAAGAATATTTCATCATGCTTATAAAATATATTTCCTCGATTAAGACAAAAAATATATTCGAAAATGTAAGCTTAGCATTACAAAAGTATTTTCGATCTCATAGCTCTGATATTATATTATCTATTCTATATTTATAAATATTCTAATGTTGCATTTAATTTTCTTTTTAGGTGGCCAACTGAAAACAAAAAATGGACAAAAATATGTATTCAACGGTCCACCGTCAGGCATTTACGTTACCAGAACATGCGTATTCTTCACCGCGATAGTGACGGTTGTGGCGCTCATCTTCACCGTACTCATCACATATTTCTTGACAGCGAACTCCGTGACAACGCCCAGGTGAGTATCAACCACAATATCAATCAATACACACCACTTTGCAACTCATTCAAATGTGGCGCTGTTTTTGTTGTTTCATTAAGGTTTGCTGAATATCAATTACAAAGTCAATCGACAATATTCGAACCACACGCGATTCGTGCGAACGTCGAACTACTTGTAGTTTGCGATATTACAATTTCATAACACGTGACCGCAACAATCACTGTTGCAACACCCATTTATGGCGCTGACATATAATATATATAAGACAGATATATACATATATTTAAAGAAAGGTATTGATATCATTCGACGCATTTAAATCGAAGTGGAAAGTGTGAGAAATGAAAATTTACATCACCAACCATTTTACACTAGAGTCCAAATCAAAGAGCATTTTTAGGGTGTGTTCTTTTCTTTTACATTTTATACAGTTAACTAAAACGTTTTAGCGCATATTTCTTCTTCCTTTTTTACACCATTTCTATTTAATTAATTTATGACATTTAAGGTAAGTCACTTGCTTCGTAAGGTTGGTTGTTCGTGGGTGGTAGTTTTGGCTTTCATTTTGCATACAACTTAGTTTTTTTGTTGGTTGTGGTTGTCGATTTACGTATGCCAAAGTGAATTCAATCAAGTGACCCACATTTTAGATCTCTTTTCTTTGTTCAGCCAAGGTAGCGAAAAATATTGTTTCCGTTGACAAAACTTAGGCGTTTACCTTTGAGCAAATATCAATAGCCATTTAGAAAGCAAGAGCAAAAATTATATACATGGAAAAGGGTAATTACTGTTACTTAATTGACAGGATAATGAAATTTTTAATTTGCATTGAAGGACCGAATCCTTGATAAACGCAAAGGAGTTAAACAAAAAGGCTTTGCAAAAAAGTTTATGTAAAACGTCCACTCAATATCAGATACTCTTGCCATTTGTAAGAATTGAACCGATTAATGACGGTTTGTGGGGGTGGCAATAGTCTCAGTCCTCGTATTTGCAATACCAATCAAGACAGACAGACAGTCACTCCGAATTCTACTCGTCTCGTGACCATGATAATTTATTTAGCCAGGTCCTCGTCCACCTGGTTTTCCAACGGAAGGCAGAGTCTTCTCTTTTCTCTGCTTCCCTGGCGGGTGCTGCTTCGAATACTTTCAGAGCTCGAGAGTTTCCATCTGTCTCTACATTCGCTTCGTTGAATATCTCGTACAGTTCATCGATCCATTGAATACGGTATTTTCCGTTGCCAATGGACCATAAATCTTTCGCAGAACCTTTCATTCGAAGGCTCGTTACCCCAACTCAACAGATGCAATCAATTTGTTGACGGTGGTCTTCAATCTTTTACACAATACACTCGATAGAAACTAATCTGCGATATTGAGGAGGCTTATCCACGGTAGTTGGCGTAGATTGAGCAGAGCGCACTTAAATTCTAATCGTCAGGCATATTTTCGTCCGACCATATTTCACAAGTAGCTCGGCCGTCTCTCCATCGTCGGTTTCATCTTTTCATTGGGTGTGTTTTTTTACGTGGCGGGTCCTAAACCCAGCGCACAATCCTGGGGAAGGATGATTCGCTTTCTCACTTTAGCTTGCATTAAAACGGATGTTTTTTGACTAGTAGTAACATGTTGCAATCGTATAGAAAGTGTTCTTGGAAGCTATGGGTCAGTGATAAGGACAAATTCGAATTTAAAAATGACGCCTAATGGGAAATAGCACCTCTCAACATACATTGGTCGTTCGTTAAGGGCTTACATTTTGTTCAACCTGGGATAATGTCAAAGCGCAACACTTTTATTCGGTGTGATAGAATAACACTTAATATTTAGGGTTATATAAAACAGATCACAAACTCCATGGCAGTTTCATCTCAATATCAATCCCTAAACAAAACAAACTTTCACTGTATTACAAAATTAATTTCTCTCTTTCCAGCTGCTTCAATGGCAATTCAAATAAGAACTCGCCGCCCTTGGCTCTGTCCTCCAATTCGATTGGCCCACAATATAACAGCACTCCAGTGGCGACGGCTAGCATACTTGGCACGGCACCACACACCGCCAGTCCCATATCGAAATATGGTACCACACCACCAATTGCGCCAATCGGTGACATCAGCTTACCGCCAGAGCATGATATCCTCGGTGCCGACAAAAGTAAAGCAGCCGATAGGAAATTGCAGCTGTACGACGGCTGGAGACCGCTGCATTACAAGTAAGTACATGATTTATAATATTCAAATTTTATTATTATTATTTTTATTTATTAATTACGCCAATACACATATATTTTAAGCGCATATGTCAAGAGATCGTAAATTCAATTTTACGCTTTTATTTATCTTTAAAATTCCATACTTTTAGCATGAGATCATTATTTGTAAGCAATAAAAAATGGTAAACATACAGCAATATTCCAGATAATGGAGTTTGTTTGCTAGGCTTGCAGTTGTGCAAACTTTTTGAAATTATTAGCGAAAAATGCCAAGAAAACCACAATCATTTCAGTGAATCACGTGTGATAAAATTTCATTTTTAATATTTTTTTTTCAAGGTGAATATAATTCCTTAATCTTACCTCCATATCCGTTTTTCCAATCCTTAAATCCCTATTTGCCTATATATAGTAGGTCTCTTCAACGCAACGGAGCTCTTACTTTCCTCCTCTCCACCATCTGTAGATTAAAAAGTAGGCTTTCATGTCGAAAACCATTACAGCGTGTACCTACATACGGACGTAATCATTGTAATATTAAATCTTTCATTTATAAAATCAAGTTTGACCCGGACTGAAAAAAAAAAAGCAATTTCGAAGTATGTATTTTAATACAAATATAAATTATTGCACTCAGCATATGTCAACGCCTAATACAATTTTCCATACAATTGGTAGAACACTCGGCCTTCGGGTTCTTCAGTGAAACGGAAGCTGAAATCAGTCACAAGCAAGCTAGAATATTATATCTAGATTATAGTGTTGAAAAATTTATGAATTTTTTGCACAGAAATCTGGCCGTTTACGACGAATAGCTTAACTACGCCGTTATAAAAGAAGAAGTGAGACCTGTATACTCCCAGTTAAGGAGCATATCGAACTCTTCTCCAAGCAGGTTCTACTGGGGTGTTTTCATAGACCGCCATTCACAGTGGAGCCATAAACATCTTCACAGACTCACTCTCAGTGAATTGTGTACTTGAAGATGATTCATCAGTTATTAAGAACGAAGAGCTCGACCCCGACATGTCAAATATATTTCCAACATGCAACGAGCCTCCGCATGACTTTAACTACCCCTTTGTTTGCCCAACTAACCCTACACATCTGAAACTGGTCTTGCTATTGTCGAAACAGCACGTTATCTTGGGCCTTCGGTTGAATGGCCTCGATGACAACTTTGAGTTTTTACCGATTCTTATGCTTTTTTTCAGTTTCGGTTTATTTTTGGAGCGCCATCCGCTAATTTGTTGACAGAAGGTCGACAAAGATTGCGGCATGTAATTACAGCACTCCGAGAGGTATCTCTCCAGGGTATGTATTGTTCGGTGCCTATTCATTCCTCGACCCGTGGTCTTTCTTGAAAATCCCGTTGTATATAATAACGCCAGTTAACCCACTCCGGCAGATGCCCTGATTTCCGAGAGTTCTATGGCCCACCCTCTGCCTCCGCCGAATATTGCAAAACTCGGTAGCAAAAGTGATTTCACGATTTTTGTTTGTGTGGGTTCTAGGTCCACGATACCTAATTTTTTCCACTTCGAAATTATGACAATCAAGTTGCAACTGAACGTGTAGAAATTTTTTCGTACCTGAAAGTCAGACGTGTGTGTACTATATTATAAATATTATTACCTTTTAGGTCACGACCGATTTTATGATGCAAATAACTATGCAAATGCAAATGCTAATGGTATAAGCAATAATTCGCTTGTATTTTAAAACTCTCTTTAATACATAAAGTTCCTAAGATTAGTAAAAATAATCCCTAAAAAAATTAATCCAAGCGTGATATGATATTATGATTATGATCCAAATAACTCTGCTAATAGTATAAGCAATAATATATATTATATAATTCACAGCCAGAAACTTAATATTAAACACCGCAGAATCGCTCAGATTACAAACACTAAATCCAGTAGCGCCAACGCGCCAAATAAGCTCAACAGCAGTCACTCGAAATGCAACAATAAAATACCGCCGAATTACTACACACCAACGATTTGAGCGCTTAGATAAGAAAGAGAAATGTTGCCAACATCCACAACAAGCAAAGCTCACAAAATAACAAAAAACCGTTAACAAATAAAATCAGAATTACAAAAAAAAAAACCAGAACAAAACGAGATATCAAACAACTCGACATAAAGTGACAGACGGTAGCAACCGGCCTCTGCCTTCACCGCGTGTGCGCAACCATTGTTGCACTAACGGACGTGGCGGCACAAGCATACCAAAAAACAAAAGCAAACACACCGCATGCATTCGCGCAGTTGGCACACAAACGAACGTCATTAATATCGCAGATGCACGCGATGCCACGCGTTCGGAATGCAGCGCGGCAGCCGGTGTGAATTGAATTGACTTGCATAACTATGCAGTTGAAAAGCGCCAGCGCGGCAATAGAAATTATAGACAACGGATGGACAGACCTGCGATGACGTTTAGCGGCCGACAGCGGCGTAAGTCGAAGGCGTGCGGATCAACGCGCTTCAGTTCGAAGACAGAGTTGAGTTGAGCGTTGCACTAACGCCTTGTGCCTTGTTGTTGCACTGGTCAAATCATTGTTGCCTCTTGTCTCGTACATGTTGATCTCTACGCTTGTGGTCTCGGCGCGGTTCTTGTGATCGCGCCGCAACGCGTCAGTCCAGAAGTGTAATCGGTGATCAGTGGAAGAAGTCTGTTAGATATACATATGAAATTGTGGCATGGCAAAGGAGAATGTGGCATTTCCTTGTTTACAGCAATTATTTCAAAGCGTGCTAAGCACAGCGATTGTCACTCAATCGTGTTGACTTTGTGCGTTTCGCTCGCTGATCGCTCTTCTGTTGATCGTTGATCGGGTTAGAGGTGCAGCAATGCGTTGATCGTGAGGCTTTCGCTTCTAATTCGATGTTGCAATGCGAAAGCAATCAGAAAATTGCAAAAATAACAAGAAATGTTGATGGCAGCTGGTTTGAAATTAAACTTGTGCGCGGCACGTGCGTCAAACTGTATGTAATAGCGGTATTGCACACTTCATGTGCCGTTACGAGCGTTTGATCGCTCGCGCAGAGACTTCCTCCACACAAATTGGATGCTGATTTTATACTGCAACGGACGAAATTGTGAATGGAACATACTCTAACCGAAATATATACGATAACACGTATTTGAAGGATGTTCATGAAGTGATTTCTATAAAATAACTGGTTTTTTCTTACCGAACGCAATTTCAGTATTGTTGGGATGTGTAGAATATAACGTCAATAGCTTCAGATAGAAACAGGCAGCTTGTAGCTAGATACAAGGAGCGTTCCAAAGTATCTGCTATCTTTATCGATTGTCCAGTGAGTGAGTGATTTCATCGATTGAAAGTGAAGTTATTGCGTTTTAAGTGTCAGTATGTTTGTGTTATCGGTATGAAAATGAGCTTCGAATAAAGAGCCAAAATTAAATTTTGTTTTAAAATTGGTCAAACTTTTATCCAAACGTTTCAATTGACGAATTCCGCACAAATTGACTGATGACCAAAAATTGCTTAGAATCCAACATTCGATCGACGCTTGTGACCGATTATTTGAACAAAAATCACACTTCCTTTGCCCATGAAAGGAAAGCTTAAGCAGACGTAAAGGCCATTCAAAAGGCTTGCATCGACATACTGGCGACCGTGCAAAAAGTTCAATACAGCTTTTTGCAGCAGGAGACTATTTTGAATAAAACAAATTGATTTAGTCGGAAAACATATTTTTCTGTTTTTTTTTAACGTCCTTGTTTCTACATTCGCCACAGTCACAGTAGTTTCAGCGGATCTGCTACTACAGGCTGTTCGGCTATCCGCGACCTGCCGACCCTCCCGGCAGCTTATATCCCAGCTAGAGAGATCAAAGTCGATTAAACAGGACACTCCGTCCGGGACGTTGGTCCTACAGTGAGTTTACAAATGTACACAATGGTAATTAAGTCGAAGAAAAACTTTCAGCTCTGAGATCCTACGTCAAAGAAACCGGATCTAGAAGTTGCTTAGAAGGTGTAAAGTCATCGAACCGACGAATCTGCAAATGTGTATGCTGCGTCAGCTGCGATTTGGTTTTATAAGTGAATGGGAGTTAAGGAAAGGCATATGTACGAGTACAAGAAACCAAATAAGATCTGCGACTCCAATGGAGTGGAGGTCTTACTCTTCCTTTGCTTCCCCCGGCGGGTACTGCTCCGCATACTTTCAGAGCTGTAATGTTTTCCTCCTCCTATATCAACGTCGACATACAAGTATAATTCGTTCATCGTTCCATCCAATGCGATATTCGCCTTTGCCAGTGTGAAAAGGATTATAAATCTTAAGCAGAACCTCGAAAACTCTTAGCTCATCAGATGTTGGCAACGTCCATGCCTCTGCACCAAGTAGCAGGACGGGAATGATGAGTGACTTGTAGAGTTTTGTATTTCTTCGTCGAGAGAGGACTTTACTTCAGCTGAGAACTGATGCGTTGCGCACAAGCTCGTTAATCAGACACTTCGCTAGTTGCTTTCAATTTACGACACTGAGCACGCTTGGCAATTGATTGAATTAGATGAAAGCGCTTATGGCAAAAATAAGTTGAAGGAGCAAACTTGTTCCTATGTGCTACAGTTTTATACATTTTTTATTGAATATACCTAACTATATAAGTTGCGATATAATAATTTAATATTATCAGCATATTGTCTACCAATGACAGATCTTTCTAACAATAATTGAATGTATAATTAAAACCCGTTACGACTTTTCATTGTTGGAAATTTGCAATTGCTTCGTTATTGTTTGTGGTGGCGCCTGGTGTTTCCTATGACTCTATTGACTATTGTTGGCTGTTGCATTCACTGATGATCGCATGCACCGAAGCGGATTCTCAAAGCTTACAAACACAAAAGATTCTATATTTAATGACGCTTGTCATTAGGTTCATATAAAAATTTATATATATGTACATATGTATGTATATGGACTCATACATAACGTCGATAGTTTATTTTGCGTCATTCGTTTTATTGATTTATGGGCTAATTGTTAGTGTAGGTGCCAAGATCGCTGTAAAATTTCGTTTTGCTTTTCTAAGGTACAGAGATAATCAAATTGAGCTGTAATATTTTTATGCACTACATATTATACATATGTACGTACTTGTAAATAAATAGATTTTGATATTTTCATTAGCATTCATTAACAAACAATACACAGGAGCACATTACCAGTCAGCTTTTTGTAATTTTTCTCGTAATTGAAAGCTTTTAAGATGAAGGGGTTTTATACATTGATTGAGTATAGTCGAAAAAATCTTTTCGTATTTCTAATTAAACTTCAACTTTTTTTATATTTATAATAATAAATAAATAAACAAATATGTACCATTTTGATCAACCACTTTTTGCCATTTTTCCGTAAATTGGAATTTTGAAATTCCCAGAACAGAAGCTGGCGAAACATTGTTCTGGCCGTTTTGCGACATGGAACTGGAAACTCCAGAACACCTGCCTGCCTGAAGCAGGCTGAAGGCTCTTGGGTCCATCTACCTGGATCCCCTCTGTCGTCTTAAAATGCTTGCCTTTCTTCAGCCTATTCTGTCAAAGAAATAAAAAAAAGTCCGGGGGGCCCACATCTGAGCTGTAGCGCGGCTGCGGCCTTAGTTAGCTAGCTGTTCACAAGAAAGGCGTGGCGTTATCGTGATGCAACTTCCAATCGGTTGCGATGTATTGTCGGACCTGATTGGCCCTTCGTTTGAATTTCTTGAGGACTTCCACTTAGCGTTGACGGTTTGTACAGGAGGGGCAAATTCTTCTCACACACTTTGTATTTGCTCATTCATCAGCGACCTCTTCCCGGACCTCCAAAAAGGCCTGGTGCCACCGAAACACACCACTTCTTGCTAAAGCAACATCTGGGTAAGAGTGCTTGATCATATCAAACGTCTCTGTCGCAGATTTACCGAGTTTCACACAGAATTTAATTGTATACCTCTGCTCTAACGAACGCTGAATTTTCGCCTTACACCACCGCCGAAACCGCCGATATCGGACCATTATAGCATATAGCTGACATACAAACTAAATGAACCGAATCCAGTTCTTCTATTGGAAGCCCGTTTTATTTTTGAAAGATATTCTAGCTTCGGTGTAACCGAAGATAACGGTTTTTCTTTTTCATAATATTTTAATATTACTCTCAATTTTCAATATTTCAAAATTAAAAAAAAAAAAACTTATTAAGCATTTAACATAAATATCTCTTTCCAGCATTGTAATTGAGCCCAACATTAAAACCGCCACCAACAATGGTAGCATTACCATTGAGGTACAGCGTGACGCCAATATCCCTACTCTGCTTCCGATTATTCTTGATGTGCACAATATTTCCGTTTCGAATGTGCGCGTCATACGCTCGCCCAGCAATGTCTCAACCAGCGATGAAATCGAATTGGATTTCGATGGTAAATACGGTGAGAACAACTCATCCTTTGTAGTGGCCATTAATAAAGGTATTGAGGATGAGCGCGATGTCACGTTGATTGTTAGCATGGATTTTGTTAGTCAGATAACCGACACGCTTCAAGGTGTGTACAGAACAAGCTATACGAATTTGGAAACCAACAAAATCGAGTGAGTATAAAGAAAATAAAGTTTTTCATATATAAATATTTATATTATGCTCTCTTCAAACTCTCTCTCTCTCTTCAGATGGATGGTCAGCACGCAATTTTCGCCCGTCGACGCTCGGCGCGCATTCCCTTGCTTCGATCGTCCCGATATGAAGGCAAACTTTACCATCACTATTATACGCGATGATAAACTCGGCATGGCGTTGTCTAATATGCCTCTCTATCGTAGCTCGTGAGTTTCCCTTCTTTCTTGTCATAACTAATAGTCATACCTATATAATGTAAATATTTTATATTTTTCTCGTTTTTAGTGTGCACCGTCCAGGCTTCACGCGCGATGATTTCGTAACATCACCGAAGATGCCTATTTACAGCTTCGCTTTTGTCGTTTCCAATTTGGTGAAATCTCATTATTCCGACTTGGATGCAAGCCTTGTACCGCGCGTAGAGATTTGGACACGCCCCGAAAATACCGAAATGACAAATTATGCGTATTCAATGTTGCGAAAGTTCTTGCCCTACTTTGAAGATTATTTCGGTATAAAGAACCGTCTGTCGAAAATCGATATGGTGTCGATACCGGATTTTGGTTTTAGCGCTATGGAAAATTGGGGACTAATTACATTCAGGTTAGTTGACGCTTGCTCAATTTATCTTTCATTTAAGTATTTTTATTTACCAAATAATCTGCTAAATATACCGTTTTTTATACTCTTTCAGAGATTCTGCGCTCCTCGTGCCCGAAGATCTTGATCGTGCTTCTTCGTCCGAGCACATGGAGCATGTTGCTCAGATTGTCGCACACGAATTGGCGCATCAGTGGTTTGGCAATTTGGTTACACCCAAATGGTGGGACGATCTTTGGTTGAAGGAAGGTTTTGCCTGCTACATGAGCTACTTGGCGCTGAATACCATACGTCCCGAATTCCAAATTATGGACACTTTCACAATCTACGAATTCGGTGATGCCATGCAACATGATGCCGACAACAGTTCACATTCCATTGCTTTCGATGTGAAATCAACCACCGATATACGTCGCATCTTCGATCCGATCACCTATTCAAAGGGTAACATACTATTGCGCATGTTGAGCTCATTTGTGGGCGATGAAGCCTTCCGTGCGGCCACACAAGATTTACTGAAGTCCTACGCTTACGACAATGCCGATCGTGATGTGTTGTGGGATTTTATGACACGACATGCGCATGAGCGTAAGACCCTGCCCGATAGTCTGCAAGTGAAAACGGTTATGGATTCATGGATAATAAAACCTGGTTATCCCGTTGTAACCGTCGAGCGCCGTGAAGCCGATCTGGTGTTGACACAAGAACGTTATATGTTGCCCTCACGAAATATGTCGGATGACAGCCGTTTTGTTGTGCCGATCACCTTCGAAACGGATGAGTTACGCAAAGGCGACAATATACCTACACATTGGATGTTAGAGACTGATCGACAAATTGTCATAAGCGACGCTTTTACCTCGGAAAATAATACCGATAATGTGGTGTACGTGAACTTGAATCGCCAGGGTTACTATCGCGTCAACTATGATATGCCTTCTTGGTTAGCATTGAAGAAAAAGTTCACCACGCTTCCCCGTATCACACGCGCACAACTTTTGGATGATGCTTTGCATTTGGCGCAAGCCGAGTACTTAACCTATGACATACCGCTGACCTTCCTTATGGAGATCTTCACAGCCACCGATGACGAGCTATTGTGGCGTGCCACGCAACGTGGCCTCAATTACCTCATCTATATGTTGCATCGCGAGCCTGCCTATGAGACATTCAGAGTGAGTAATAATAATTTTCGCAGCTGAAAAAGTGTTTAGCAATCCATTTCCTACAGGCCTTTATGAAATTCATTGTACGCCCCGCCTTCGACCGTTACGGCTTGAATGAGCCGGACAATGAATCGCACATACAGTTACAACATCGCGCCAATATTGCGCGTCTCGCATGCAAATTCAACTACGATCGCTGTACAATGCCAGCGCACCGGAAGTATCGCGAGTGGATGGCCGATCCCAAACTCAATCCGTATATGCTGCGCAACCGTTTAGACTTTTAATACGAATTTAATAATATTTCTTTTTACAGCATTAAGCCAAATCTGAAATCGATTATTTATTGCACGGCGCTCGCTGAGGGCTCCTTCCAGGAATGGTATTTCGCTTATAAGCAATATAAACGCACCACAAGCGCATCCGAGAAGGAGCAGATCTTAACATCTTTAGGCTGCACCACAAAGCCATGGCTGCTCTCTAAGTATGTAATTTAAAATAATAAAATAATTTATTTTTAAGAAATCTGCCAGTCTCAAATACCTATATAAAATATGAAATTCATTTGCAGATATCTAAATATGACCATCGATCCAACTTCTGGTATATTGAAGCAGGATGGCGCTCGCGCTTTCCGCGCCGTTGCTGAGAACTCGATTGGTTATGAAATTGCATTTGATTTTCTGCAATCGAAGATCAAGGAAATCTCTGAATAGTAAGTTTAAGATGGCTTATTGTGTCATTCTAAGTAAAAAATATTTAAAAAGTAATAACAGTTTTGCAATGATCATCTTTCAGTGCAAGATGAAACTAAATACATCTTCGGTTTACCCCGAAAATTCCCAAATTTTTTAGATACGTGATGGTGCTAAAAGTAAAGATCCACACCACAATCTCAATGTCTGTTTTGCAGTCATCTGTCGTTAAGTTCTGGTTACTTTAGCCAAGAGTAGCGGCGCGCGAACTATGTGCAGGTTGCAAAGCCGTAGAGGCTTGTGTCGCAGTATTGCGCAGGCAACATGAGGCCACGCAACGCGTGGGTCTTAAGGCCTCAACAGGTCTTAAGATGGCTCCAACCATTGCATGTATTGCACCTGATCGAGGTGGAGTTTGGATGGAACCTCACCTTGAAATATAGTGCAGTGGTTCGACAACTTAAAAGGTTGCCTTATGCCTAACTCTGAACAATATGTTCCCACATCAAGTCCATCATCTATTTTCGAGCCATTCGTATAGTTGTTTAGAGTGTTGCACGTAACTAACATACCTTTAGGCCAGTCATCTTTTTCTAAAACCACCGCAACCCCGGCCGCTTCGTTCCCTTATTATCCTCCATGTTAAGTGTGTGATTCTAGTTCTTTAACCCAAGCATTTTACACCTACCGCCAGGTAACTCATTACCAATGGCCATTGTATTACTCATTCACCTATTTTTGAGATTGCATATAGAACAGTCGAATATAAGGGGATAACACCTATTACTCAACCGAGAACCGCGCGGAGGATACAGCTAAGAAGAATTTTTGCCCACCCATAACGCTATATGTGCACTTATTCCTTCGCTTTGTTTGTATGTAAATATGAATTTGTCAGCTATACAGAATATTCTTTCCACTTTCGTAAATCCATTGCTCGTGTCCGCCTTACAAATTTGCTTTGCAATCAACATTCTGTACAGATCAATGTTACCTTAACAGAGCTCAACCAAGTACATATGTTTTGAAGCATACCTTCAGGCACATAATGTGGACATAAATTATCTTTATTTTGATTGAAATTGATTGGATCTTGTTCTTATAGATGCAATAATAATCAAAATTAAAACAGTGAATAATTATTTAATGAATATATCATGTCGATTTAAGATATTTGAAGAATTGAAGGTTTGTATTTGGTATTGCTTATAGTTGCTGTAAAAATTTTATAATGCAGAGTGAGATTTTTAGATATGACTGTGAAGTCCGTACATCTAAGTGATCACAAAAATATTTTTTATTTGAAGAAAATTCATTAACCGTAATTTTTTTTCTTTTCTTGGAAGTACATATTGCATTAAAAGAATTGGTATTGAAAATTTTAAAATTGAATAATAAAATTATATTTCTGTTTCTAAGAACGCTAATTATACTTAACTACTAACATATACTTTCCTTACATTTCCAGCTTCGGCGACGGATTCTCCACACTCACCGAAATGATCAAATCCATCACCACGTACATGAATAAGGAATATCATAAAGATCAGCTGCAGCAATTTGCCGATCGTGCACGCAAACTCAGTCTGACAGCAGTCGAAGAAGCCATCGGCTTGGCCATGGAGCAAGTCAACAACAACATTTACTGGCGTGAGCATTCTTACTATCAACTGAAGGACTTCCTGGAAGCGATAGTTAGCGAATTTCACATAAATATATTTTAAGTAAGGCGAAAGTACGCTGGTAGAGAGTAAGGAAAAGCAGAACGAAAAGGCAAACATGCAAAGAGCAGTGCTTAGGAATCTACAAGAAAATGAGTTTGAGCGTTATGTAAGTGGATAGTGTTTGATTGAGAGAGCAGTGCGTTTGGAGCAGACCAAATGAATGAGCGAATTGTTGTAGAAACGTACTACTACTCATTTTCTTTTTAGCATTAGATAGTTTAGCGTAAGCGTGTAAGCTGTTGTAAGAGGAACCACATAGGAGCTTTAAATTTTGCGTGACAACAACAAGCAATTCACCGTTAACAAAAACAAAAATCGTATTGACATTGAAATTTTTGTATTTAAGCACACAATTGAAAATTATATTTTGTAATGATATGTTGTTTTGCCAACAAAGTGATATATTTGTATAAGTGAATGTACCATATTTCCTCTGCTGAAGCAATGAAGCCAACTTTTAACTAACGGAAAAAGAGAGAGTGTAAAAGTAATGTGAATTTATTTTTTTAGCACAAAAGCAACGAGTAATTTGATTTATATTTTTGTAATTTTA